GCTGCAGTTTACTACATGGGAGTCCATTGACATTACTATTATATCTATTACTACTGGTCTCTGAAAAAAATTTCTTTATGCCTTTGTCTACTATATTCAAGTACTGTTAAAACTAACTTCCCAGTGAATTGCACATTTCAAAACTATCTTCTAGGTTCTAGTTTGTTGTTGTTCTCTTTTTTACATATAGTTGCCAAATGGAATGTCTTTCATTTTCTCATGTCCCTCTTCATTTTCCTCTGTACATATAAAACGCTGTGGAGCCAGCAGGTGGCGTGGTGGTTAAGGCTCTGGACTCTCACATGGCTGACCTTGGTTTGAGTCCTGCACCTGGTGGCTTGCTTTCTCACTTTCTTTCTCTCTCTCTTGCTCTGTCCCCGTCTGGTCAAATTAAAATAAATAAATAAATAAATAAATAATATTTAAAAATACTGTTGGTGGGAACCAGCAGTTAGCGTAATGGCTATGTCGCTGGATTCCCACGTAGTTGACCGCGATTCGCGTCCTGGACCCAGTGGCTTAAAACTCACGCCGGGCATGTGTGCATGCGTGCCCAAGATCCCAAGAGGAGAATGGAGGAGAAGGGATTGCGGCATGACCATCCCCCCTGGGGGGTGATTTGTCTCGCTTTCTGTCTCTCTGTCTCTCTCTGTTTGTCTGGCAAGCGCACGCGCCCTATAGCGAAAAGCCTCTCCAAAAAAAAAAAAATGCTGTTTGGTTTCTCTGCCTTTTCACTATCTATACCTCATACATTATTTGTCAGGTTTATGCCTAAAGACATAGATAGAAATACACATGAAAAGAAGAAATAATAGTAACCTCTATACCATCAAGATTTTTTGGGGGGGTTTGTTTAAGAATTATTTGTTTAATTCCATTTGTTATTACCATTATTATTTTTTATTTGACCATAGAGAGAGAGAAAGGGAAGCACCAAGCAAGAAAGTAAGCTGCCAGGTCTGGGACGTGCCTGCTGTTGGACATGTGGGAATCCAGCGCCCTTAACCATCACACCACCTGCCAGCCCCTCAAGGGTTCTTTTAAAAATTACATTTATTTGGCCCCCTCTTTTTATGTGTAAAAGGTTTTGTTTGTTAATATGAAATGTGTATTTGATGTTCCATGTTTAATTTACTGTTTCATAAAATATGATTTTAAAAATATATGTAATCTGTATTATAAAAAAATGGACAATATAGATAAAGATTAAGATCATCTCACTCCCATATTAGAAAAAACTGTTAGCATTTTGACATATTCTTTTATACTTTTATCATTTATTCTTTGACTTATTTATTCATTTATGTTTTATATATAACATGTATAACTTTTTTTTTTTTTTTTTGGAGAGATTTTCACTATAGGGTACGTGCACTCGCCAGACAGACAGAGAGAGACAGAGAGACAGAAAACTAGAAATCACCCCCCAGGGGGATGGTCACACCGCAATCCCTTCTCCTCCATTCTCCTCTCGGGATCTTGGCACGCATGCACACGCACCCGGCGTGAGTTTTAAGCCATCGGGTCCGGGACTTGAACTGTAGTCGACTACGTGGAAGTCCAGCGACATAGCCATTACACTAACTGCTGGTTCCCATATTTTTAATAAAAATAGTATTATATAGCTTATATTTGTTATAGCCTGCTTTTAATATTTGATAACATCAAATCATTTTAAATTTCTGTGTAGTTTTCTAGTAATTGGGGATTCTCTAATTTATTTTTCTAATTTCTTAGAATGATTCATGTATTCTATTAATTTCTAGTTTTTCATTCAATATTAATAAAGGCTTGTTATTGAAACATTATGGGCCTACATAAATACCTATATTCACTAGGTTTTTGGATGATTGGTCTAGTTTGTTCCAAGACATGATACTCACCACTTCTGCATTTTCCATGTTTATATTACCCTTTACTTGTGTACATAGTTATGAATGGATTCTTCTTTTTTTCCTTTTTCCTCCTATTTTAAATTTATTTCTCTCTGGGCCAGCTGGTCTCTCACTGATCAAACTAAACTAAAAATAATAATAATAATAAAATTAAATAAATAATTCTTTTAAAAAAGTTTACTTATTCCATGAGTTAGAGAGACACAGAGAGAGAGAGAGAGAGACAATACCCCCAAAAGGGTCTTAATGCCACTGCTTATCCTCAGGCTTCAGCCAGCCCCACATCATGGGTAAGCATGTGCCTGCAATACTCAAGATCATCTCTAGACTTGCACTAGGAACTTTTCTGTGTGGGATTGCATCCTAGAACATCCCATTTTACCACTGCACCATGATAAGACATCCCTCTTCTACTCATTTCGCTTGGAGAGAGACAGAGAACGGAAGATGAACAAAGGTCTTCTTGGCAAAGGACCACAGCAAGAGCAGAGGAAACAGTTGTTTTATAAATTATTTGCCACTATTTTGAGTTCTAGAACAGAGATACAAGCTAATAATTTTTCTGAATATAAGCTGATACTTTTCAAGCATAATATAATACCTAATGAATAGTAAAAAGAAAGTAGGTGAATTCATGCAGTACAGAAAAACAGAGAAGAAAAAAGATGAACATTTTAAAACATTAACTAAACCTGAATGTACAGTGTATAAGATTAAAAATAAAGCTGACTTCTTTTTCTTTTTTTAAGTTTATTTATTTGTTGAGAGCGAGATACCTGTACAGGGTCTTACGCCATGATTTTCCCTGCAGCCTTTCCCAGCCAGCCAGGATCATGGGCACACTGTGCACCTGTCAGGTTCAGGCTCACCTGAAACCACACGGCTCCAATGTTGCAGAGCACTGTGCCACTGCTGAGCCACTGTGGCTAGACAGGTTTCATTTTCAAAGGTCATTAAAAAGAATATAGTCAAGAAATATTAAAGATAGCACTGATGGTTATCTCTTGCTTATTACGTTTATGATTGGAAGCTTCTTTGGACTATCTAATTAATTTGTTTTGAGTTAAGTGAAGTTTATTAAAATTTTTAATCAGTTACTATAGCATAATTTTTTAACTTTAATTTTTTTAAGGTTTTGCTGTTAGGGTGTATGTACCTCCAGAGATAGAGAGACAGAGGGAAAAAGTAAGAAATCACCCTTCAAGGGGATAGCCATGCTGCAGTCCCTTCTCTTCCAGTCTCCTCATGGGATTTTGGGCACTCATGCACACATGCCTGCTGAGATTATCAAGCTGCCAGGTCTGAGACTTGAACCATGCAGCCAGTCATGTGGCATCCAATATCTTAACCTCCACACTCCCTGCTGGTCCTGTAATAACATTTTAAAATATCTTAAGTCTTATAAAAATTAATCATGGCTACAAAGTGAGAAAAGTTCTAGATGTATATAGTGAATATTTGTGTTTTGTTTTTCTTGTACAGAAATGGTTAAAGTTTTTAAATGAGTAAGATTTTAACAATCTTTTTAAAAGATTTGCCTTTTTTTCAAGGTCTTTGCCCATAGGGTACATGTGTTCACCAGAGAGACAGAGACAGAGAGAAGGAAAGTGAGAAATCACTCCCCCCTTCCTAGGTTATGGCCATGCCACAATCCCTTCTCCTCCATTTTCCCCTCGAGATTTTGGGTATACACACACACACACACACACACACACACACACACACACTTGGCGTGCTTTTCAAGCCGCTGGGTCTGGAACTCAAACCAAGCAGTCAGACATGTGGGATCCAAATGCGTTAACCACCATGACAACTGACTGGTCCTAACTGTTTAAAAAGATGTACTTACAAAGTTGTCACAAGAAATAAAGGAAATGAACCTTGCAACAGATGCATGAGTCTGAGAAAAGTGCTCACAAATGTAAAATAACCCAATGAGTCAAAATGGTATTGTTAATGTCTGCTTCAGGTAGGGAGTTTCAGTAGTTTAATTTGCCTTTTTTCCCTCTTCCCATTCCCACCTTTTCTTTGTGTTGTACTAAATAAAGAAACCAGGAAACCAAGTAATTGAAATGCGTAATTCTGTAAGGTATACTCAGTTCATTACATTTCATTTAGATCATTAACTTTTTAAAAGTCTTAGATAGGCCAACCTGTATCAATGCTGTTTCATCAGATCTATTGCATTCATTATTTAATGCAATATTGCCCCCATCAGCGTTGATCTTGCACTGTGTCCTTTTTCACTTGGAAAGTATCATTTGCAAGTGACCTGAAATGTTTTTTTCATTTATTGACCTCATGCTGGTGTTTGATTACCATTTCCACTTCACATTGTTATGGGCTACTTGTGTCATCATTGTAATACCGCATAAGTTTAAATATTTTTAAGTTATTTCCTTCCAGAATAAAATATATCAAGAGTAGAAATTGTTTTCCTCGCTGGTCATTTTACACATAGGTTTCTAAGCCAGTGACTTTAGTTTCTTTATGGGAATACTGTATGTGCCTGGTTTGTCTTGATTTATGTTTTATTATGATGATTTTATTTGTTTCTATGTATATTCTTTGTGCTTTTTCTCTTATATACGAGTGGCTATTAAGTTATTAAGTGTTTAAATGTGTGTTAACTGGATTACTTTAGTTCAGTAAAAGATACTGTTTCAGAATTCCAAGCAAAATTATTAAAGCAGTTCAGTCCTGGGGGGTGTGAAGAAGGAAGGTGTAGGTTGACTGACTGGCTTTCCATTCATTGCAGTGAATTATATTTTGATAATCAAATAAATTGAATCAAATAAATCAATAAAAAGGAATATTATTTTTTAATTAGTAGAAAAATGTACAGTCAAGGGGACCAGCAGGTGGCATGGTGGTTAAGGTGCTGGACACTCCCACATGACTGACCACGGTTCTAGGCCCGGACCTGGCAGCTTCCTTTCTCGCTTTCCCCCTCTCTCTCTCGCTCTGTCTCTCTCTGGTCAAATTAAAATAAATGTATGAATAAATAAAATTAAATAAATAATAATTGAAAAAAGAAAAATGTACAGTCAATTTAGTAACCTTTCTCAAATAAATAATAAAGATTTTTATTCGAATATATTGCAGGATGGAGTGGTTCTTGTTCACTGTAATGCAGGAGTTTCTAGGGCTGCTGCCATTGTAATAGGCTTCTTGATGAATTCTGAAGAAACCTCCTTTACCAGTGCATATTCTTTGGTAAAAAACGCAAGGCCTTCTATTTGTCCAAATTCTGGCTTCATGGAGCAGCTTCGGACATATCAAGAGAGTAAAGAAAGTATCAGGACTGACAACATACAAGAATTACAAAGAGACAACAATTCATGAGTTGCATTCTAGCAGATGATGGACAATCGTGATTTCTGAATTGGCTCTATAGCCAATTGTTTCTCTTTCTTTGGAGAGCAGACTCATAAAACTTTTTTTTTTTTTGACTGTTTTCAAGTAGAAACAGAGGTCAATTTGATTGTCCTAAGCTAGTCTATAAATAAGTTTTAAAATCATATTTCTCTTTTTTACTATATTGTGTGATTAAAATGCTTCTTTGAATTGCTGAGGAAAAATAATGGTATATTAGCAGTCATTGATTTCTGTACTAGATAGTCTTAAATTTAAAATTTATTTTGGGGCATGAAAAGAATAAATCAGTTGTTGAAGGTTTTTATATATATGTATAAATGTATATATATGTGTGTGTGTATACATATATATATATTTTTTATTCCATTAACTGTTTTCATGAAGGAAAAAGAACTTAAAGTGCTACTTAATTTATTTTTTCAAAGGAAGGTAAATTTCTTTGTAAAGAATCTCTTTTTTTTTTTTTTTTTCAGGTTTTTACCATTAAGGTATGTACACCTAGTGGGGGGAGTGAGAAATCACCTTCCTGCTGGGATGATAGCCATGCCTCAGTCCCTTCTCCATTTTCCTCTTGGGATTGGACACATGCACACACACACACACACACACACACACACACACACACACGCCCAGTGTGATTTTCAAGTTGTTGGGTCCAGGACTTGAACTGTGGCCAGCCATGTGGGAATTGGTACCTTAACCACCATGCTATCTGCTGGCCCCAGTAAAGAATCTTTTTAAGATTAAAAATTAATACTTAAAACTCTCAAAAAAAGTAACCAGAATCTAAATGCTTATATAATACTTACATAATACTTACATAGTGGTCACAGTATTCACAAAAGTTCTTACATCTTTTTTTTTTTTTTTCACTATAGGGTGGGTGCGCTCGCCAGACAGACAGAGACATAGAGACAGAAAGCAAGAAATCACCCCCCAGGGGGGATGGTCATGCCGCAATCCCTTCTCCTCCATTCTCCTCCCGGGATCTTGGGCACGCACGCACACGCGCCCGGCGTGAGTTTTAAGCCACCGGGTCCGGAACGCAAACCGTGGTTGACTACGTGGGAGTCCATCGACATAGCTATTACGCTAACTGCTGGTTCCCAAAAGTTTTTACATCTTTTTATAAAAATATACCCACTTTTAATTTTCTTTCTTTCTTTTTAATTGCCAGAGGGTACTTGTGCTCAACAGAGACTGAGTGAGAGAAAGAGAGGGAGAAAGCACCCTGGTTGGGGTGTGGTCATACCACAATCCCTTCTCCCCATTCCTCCGTCCTATCTGGATTTGGGGCATACATGCCTGGCATGTTTTTAAAGCCACTAGGGCAGGATTTGAACCATGGTGAGCCATTTAGAATCTGGCTATATAAACAATAGGCCATGGGGCCAGCCTCTTAATTTTGATTTTTTAATTTAATTCTATCACCTCCATTTCTTTTTTTTAATTTTTAAAATATTTATATAGATGTTCTCTCTTACATTATTGTGAGCTTTTAGTTCTTGAATTAGATAATCTACTCTTTTACATTTTGTGCTTTTATCTTGGTGCCTAGCATTCTGTTTTTGAGTCTCATGTCAAACTTTTTGGTCTACTTTGATTTGTAAGAAAATATTTTATACTGGGTCAGCAGGTGGTATGGTGGTTAAAGGTGCTGGACTCCCACATGGCCAACCATAGTTCAAGTCCTAGACCTGGTGGCTTGCTTTCTCACTTTCCCTCTCTCTCTCTCTCTCTGTCTGTCTCTCTGATCAAGCTGGAAAATATAATAATGATAATAAACAAAGTTAAATAAATTAATTCTTTAAAAAAATTTTTATACTGAAAGATCACTTTTTTTTTTGAGAGGTTTTTGCTATAGGGCGTGTGCGCTCGCGAGACAGACAGAGAGAGACAGAGAGATAGAAAGCAAGAAATCACCCCCCAGAAGGGATGGCCACGCCACAATCTCTTCTCCTCCATTCTCCTCTTGGGATCTTGGGCACGCACACACACGCGCCTGGCGTGTGTTTAAGCCGCCGGGTCCGGGACTCGAACCATGGTCGACTACATGGGAGCCCAGCGACATAGCCATTACGCTAACTGCTGGTCCCCTGAAAGATCACTTTTAAGATACAATTTGTTCAATGATATGTATCCTAATTTAAGATTCTGCTGGAGAACATATTGTTAAGGAAAGAAGAGGTATGGTTTTATAAGAAATTTTAAATATATTATTAGGTATAAAATCATTTATAATTTTCTTTCTGGCCAGAGATTTTTGAATTACGTCCTTTTTATTATTTAATGTCTTCATATTGTTAAGACTGAACTCTGTACATTGTGATGTTTAATTTTCTTTCCAGAATAAAGTGTATTTAAAGAGAGAATTATTTTTAAAGTTTTCAAGAAGTTTTTATGACTTGGAAAATATTATTGCCATGTAGATTTTATTTTAGAAAGTCCTGAGCTCTTTTTAAATAAACATTCTAGAGAGCAAGCATATTCCTATACATACGTTGCAAAGCACACATTGAGCACATCTGTGCATTGAGAAGGCAGGTTTTCTTATGTTCCCATTAGCAAAAAGTAGAAGTGATGAATGCAAATTGTGTTTGGAGATCACTTATCTGACAAGATGCTGTCAAATGCGATACTATACCCTCTTGGCTTCGACTGAGAAGGAATCTAAATGTGATCAACCTTGAACTGTTTGATGTCGAGACTGGAAGAATCCTCTTAAATATGAGACCGATGTATAGTATTGTCTCTGTGTTCAGTATTGCTGTGGTTTTCAGGGTGAGCCTTCTCCATTCACGTGAAAACATTTTTTAGGGTGGCAACAAATTTTTCTATGCTTTTCTGTGCAAAAATGCACGAGTCTCCTGAAGACCCAATATCCTAATACACTTTCTTTTGCTGACTTATGCTTAGTTTTCAGACTTTATTAAATGTTGTCATCTGAATCCTTGCTAGAACTTGTTCAAAATACACAGTATATTATTTATGTCTGTGGTTGATATGCTCAGTTGTTGACTCTAGTGGACTGTTTACAGTTCAAACCCTTATCTTTGAGCATCAGTTCTATTTTAATCTTAAATTATAGTAGTTTGCTGTATCTAAAAAAGATCGATGAATGTAATTCAGTCTTTTAAATTAGGGAAACTCTTTAAGGCAATGATAAGTCATCTACGTAGTATGTTTATTGTACTTCCTATGGAAATAAGTCACTTTGTCATACTGAGGTATTTTTGAAAAGGAACTATATTATTATGATCTTCTCTCAGATATTACTAATTTTTAAAAAGATATGCACAACAATATAGGAATGTTTTAGGGGCAAAAAGTTTTGCTTTAATTACTTTTATTTATGTTTTAAAGAATTATTTTATTTAACTCTTTATTTATTTATTTATTTTAATTTGACCAGAGAGGGACAGAACAAAAAAGAGAGGAAGTAAGAAAGCAAGCTGCCAGGTCAATGCCTTGAACCACCATCAGCCATGTCGGAGTCTAGCACCTTTAAACACCATGCCACCTGCTGGCCCCACTTCAATTATTTTTAAAAAGATATTTCTACCAATTTTTAAAGGGAAGGGAAAATGAAAGTATCATTTCTTTTTAAACATTGAAAAAACCAGCAAATGGCATAGTGGTTACGTCGCTGGACTCCCACATGGTCTTTTGTGGTTTGAGTCCTGGGCCCGGTGGCTTGAAACTCACACTGGGAGTGTGTGTGTGTGCATGCCCAAAATCCCAAGAGGAGAATGGAGGAGAAGGGATGATGGCATGACCATTTCCCCGGGGGATGTTTTCTGGCTTCCCTTCTCTCTGTGTGTCTCTGGCAAGTGCACACACCGTAGAACAAAAATATCTCTTTAAAAAAAAAGTGTTTTGTGGGACCAGTGACATAGCCATTATGCCATTTGCTGGTCCCAAGTCTGCTTTTAATACTTTGAAAGGAGATTTTGACTTCCTGTATTATAGCCTTGATCTCTAACAGATCCATTTGATTATTTTTTATAGTGTGTATTTCCTCTTTTAGATCTTGCAAGAATTTCCTCACCTCCTGGAATTCATCAGCTTATTTCTCCTGCCTCTCCTGCCTTTTCTGCAGTTTATTGTCTCTCTTCTCTTCCATCTCTGTTAGCTTTGTCACTATGAATATTCTAAATTCTTTTTTTATAAGTCAATTGCAATAGTTTTGTTTGTTTGTTTGTTTGTTTGTTTTTTAAGAATCATTCCATTTGAGACCAGCAATTGGCATAATGGCTATGTTGCTGGACTCCCATGTAGTTGACCGCAATTTGAGTCCCAGACCCAGTGGCTTAAACTCATGTAGAGCACGTGTGCATGCATGCCCAAGATCCCGAGAGGAGAATGAAGGAGAAGGGATTGTGGTGTGGCCATCCCCCCCAGGGAAGCGATTTCTCACCTTCTATCTCTCTCTCTCTGTCTTTCTGGCGAGCACACGTGCCCTATAGCAAAAACCTCTCAAAAAAATAAAAATAAAAAGAATGATTCCACTCAACTTTATTTCTTTTTATTTTTAATTTGACCAGCGAGGGGCAGAGTGAGAGAGAGAGAGAAAGAGAAGGAAAGTGAGAAGGCAAACCACCAAGTCCAGGACCCTAACTATGGTTGGCCATGTAAGAGTCCAGTGCCCTCAACCACCATGCCACTTGCTGGTCCCCAAATATTCTAAATTCTTTATCTGACATTTCCATGAGTTTCATTGTACTGTCTGAGGATGAAGAGGAGTTATTCTTTGCCCTTGGAGGAGACGTATTTCCTTGCTTTCCCATATTTCTGTGACTCTGCAGTGATTTCTGGTCATCTGATGGATGTGGGAGGCTGCGCACTAGCGAGTCTACTGAGGCCATTTTCATGAGTCTCTTACTATCACCATCTTAGGAAGCCCTTTGGTTTCAGTTTCTCAGAGAGCAAACAATTACACAATGCCAAAGGCCATGATTGGCTCCCCTTCAAAACTGCACTCTGATACTGAACTCTGATTGGCCACAGTCTATGATGCCCACTGATTAGTGAACTCAGAATCCCTCATATTTGCATGGGTACCCCATGATTGGTCCATCTAGAATCCCTCATTTACATATAGAGCAACCAATCATGGCCCACCAACATGTATATAACCATGATCTTTGGCCCATAATAAATGGATTCCAAAGAGTTGTAACACTGTTTCACCTCCGTGCTGTTCGTCCCGACTCTCATTCCTTCCCTCAGGAAACTGTTCGACTGTCCCGCGGGTTGGGACAGA